TTTGTTCTACAATTAAAAATTAATTTAAAAATAAAAAATGTCAGCTTTAACTGATGTTTTCCTTGGATGGGATTATTGGGGAAGTTTATTACTTGGTTATCCTCTAAACATTATTCTGATTATTTTAATTATTTTTAAAACACCAAAAGAAATGGAAACACACAGCAGAATTCTGATACAAAATTGTGTTTTGGATATTTTATTATTAACACTTCAAATGTTGGCACAAGTGGTAAAATCTTTAACAGAATTTAATCAGAATAATTTACTCTGCATCCAAGCTAAGTATGGGTACTTCGAGAATTTTTGATAAGATATGTTTCTTATTTAGTTATCTATCATACATATAAGCTTTGGATATAGTAAAGTATACCGGTGGTAAGGTTTTGATATAAGGCCCATACCATTCCGAATCGAAGAACAGGTACCACTCTTTTTTCTAGTGAAACACTAACCTAGAACCCCGACCCAAAAGTCAAACCCCGAACCCAGACATGCTCTCCCCGGCAAACCCTGATCCCCGACAAACCCGACCCGAAGGCTCGGGGTGCTACCCTAATTTAATCTATAAAGGTATACTTGATATGAATAAAGGTGTGGCAAAAATAACATGTCCCATATCTTTTATGTCACCCTATAGAAACCAGAATAAAATTAAAACCAGAATTTAATTAAAACAAAATTTTAACTATATTTTTAAGTTTTATATAACCGACAATAAAGGAAATACAATTTATATTATCACTGACGGGATTTTGATTTATTTTATGAAAGAAAAGTTTAACCCATTATTTTTCTATTGTATTTTTATTACTTGGCAATTTATGGTCAATTTAAGTACCAGCGGATTGTGTGTTCAATTTATATATAGATATTTAGTTTTAAACAGGTAATTAACAATAAAACAGAATTTTTCCAAACAGAACGGGGCACCTCAGTTCAGTATGGATCAGCTCAGTTTGAACCCTATAACTCAGCGAGGATCACTTTTTCATGTTCTTGGTATCATTAGAATTTTTAGAATCTTGGTATCATTAGAATCAGAAGCTGTACAACATATCAAAAAAATCAGAATTTTCAGAAAAACGTATCAAAAACCCAACTTTTTCAAAAAAAAACATGATTTTTGAGTACTTTTTAGAACATAACCTTTTTACAGGTTAGTCAAGAATTCTGATTTTCTGGTATATTGTAGCTTATATAATGCTTTATCAAAAGGTACCAAGAACATCAGAAATTATCAGCCCCTTCAAAAGTTATAGGGACCGAAACTCAACTGAGCCCAGACTGAACGAGGTGCAGTGATGGGAAAGTTCCGAAATTTCTCTGGAACTAGTTCCAGTTCCAGAACTAGGTTTTTAATTTTAGTAGTTCCAGTTCCAGAACCAGGTTTTTAATTTCTTTAGTTCCAGTTCCAGTTCCGGAACTCCATTTTTAAAATTCCTTAGTTCCAGTTCTGGAACTAGTTCCAAGCTAGTTCTAGTTCCAAATTTTAATTTTTTTGAATATGAAAAGATTTATCAATTTTAACAAATAAAGGTATAATTTAAAAAATCATTTAGTGTGCGGCAAAATCGCATTCATGGGATCCCTTAACGGGATTTTTTTCAAAATTATTTACGGGACAGGATCCCGCGGATTAGGATCCGCAGAACCCGATAATCCCGTTCTAAAATTTAGCGGGATCCTGTGGATAGCGGGATCCTTTTTACGTAATAGATTCGAAGAGACAAGAGGATTTGAAGGATTAAGGGATTTAAAAGGATATATGGGAATTCACTTTTTCAGCGGCGCAGGCGAAAATTTTGAGAATTTCTAAGGTCTTAGGCCAAAAAATTCAATTTTTCAGCGCCGCAGGCGAAAATTTTGAGAATTTCTAAGGTCGTTAACAGATAAAGGCATAATTTAAAAAATCATTTAGTGTGCGGCAAAATCACATTACGGGATCCCGTAACGGGATTTTTTTTTCAAAATTTTTTACGGGACAGGATCCCGCGGGATAATCCCTTAAATCCCAATAATCTCGTACTAAAATTTAGCGCGATCCCGCGGGATTTCGTGATTTTCATTTAAAAAATTTTTACGTAATAGATATCGGGGAGATCAGAGGATTTGAAGGGATTAATGGATTTAAAAGGATATCTGGGGGGATTTTTGGTGATATCTGTTTTATAAGAGGAGGATTAAAGAAGATTGGAGGATAAACTTGAGGATTGAGAGGCAAAGGATTCACTTTTTCAGCGCTGCAGGCGAAAATTTTGATAATTTTGAAAGACCAATTCACCAGATTTCATCCTTTTTTAGCGCCGCAGGCGAAAATTTTTAGAATTTTGGAGTTCAAGCAGCCAGATTTCTTCAATACTCAGCGCGCTGCAGGCAATTTTCGAGGAAATTTTGTCAAAAATATAACCCCAGGAACTAGTTCCAGAACTAGTTCCAAAGCTAGTTCCAGACATTTACTAGTTCCGTAGTTCCAGTTCCAAGCTAGTTCCAGCATTTACTAGTTCCGTAGTTTTAGTTCCAAACTAGTTCCAGATAATCGTTAGTTCCGTAGTTCTAGTTCCGGAACTGGAACTGGAACTTTGCCCATCACTGACGAGGTGTACCCAAACAGTAAATTTATTTTAACAGAAACATGAAACTTGGCTTCAGTCACTATTTATATATGTTTTTGGTTGCGCTAATAATAATTTCAATTTATATATTCGATTGTAGTTTTTTCACTATGCCATATTCTTCTGGAGGTGTTCAGCTATTTGCTGAGTTTAACAAAACTTTACCATACTTTCAATGTGGAATGGAAAATGTAATTTAAAAATAATTTTTTTAATAATGTTTAATTAAAAGATGAGAGTTTTTGCGATGCTCCCATTAGCCTTTGTTGAGATCATTCCATATTTTATAATACCTATTTGCGGGATTAAAATGGGTAAATACGTTAATTCACATGCTGGACTTGATGAAAATATGAAGGCATTGGTTAAACAATTAACAAAAACATTAATAATTCTGGTATGTTTTTGTGGAGGAAAGGGAGAGGTTGGGACGGCTTCCTTATCCTCACAAAAAATGAAGTTGGTTGTTGATGAGTAGGGTTGCCGATTTCGATTCGAGCCGACGTTCGGTGCATTTTTTCGAGCTTAGTTTTTTTCGATTCGATTCGTTTTCGAGCTGAAAAGCCTTGGCTCTCTCGATCTTTGAGTTTCAGTTCGAGCTAGCTGGCAACTTTATTGAGTCTTAGCACGAGTGGGCACTAGCACAAGAACGGAAGACTGGACCTTAACACGGTTGGCACAGTGAGAAGCAGAAGTGAACGGAGACGTTCACTTTTAATCCAAAGTCGTCAATGTTTGACGACAGTTCTAAATTAATTCTGATTTTTAAAACTTGTTTTAAAAATTTTTATGATATTTAGGCTGTTGTTCCATTCGTTAAACATGCAACAATATTAATACTTCTAGTATTTTCCTCCACATACACAAGTAACGACGTGGCAAACATTATCCGATTAATTATTTTTCTGTGGTTTCATTTTACCCCAGTATTTAACTCAATTGTTTGTATATTAACAAACAAACCATATCGAGACGCTGTTCTTAAAAGTATAAGAATACATCCACAATAAATTTGAACTATTATAATTTTGATAAATTTATTTTTCATAAATGTCATTTAAATTAGTTTACTATGTTAATTTAAATATTTCTGTGTATTGATATCACCCATTACTGTTTTATCATAAAAGCTATAATAAAATAACTTCTGTTTTTAAATTTATATGTTACAGGGTGACCAGTAAACATAACTTTAATAATGAGATCCAATAAGGATTATATAATAGAGAGTTCGTTTTAAGCCATAACACGAATAGATTCTTCGACCAAACAAACTTCCATCGCGCTTTACCTCATCAAAACCCATGGATTGGAGTATATACTATGAATTTGACCCAGTTTCACGTTCTCGGGCGTGTTACTGATCGGTTTCTGCTATTTTTTTAAAGAGAACAGTCATGGCCACTAACCTAAATGATTAGTATACTTAGTAGTTTATGATTAGTATATTAGTAAAACTTTGACATATTCGGTCAATTTTACAATAAATTTTTATATTAATTTTATTCTTCTTGTTTCTTTTACTAAAAAGATAGCTATAGCCAACAACTACAAGCCACTTTTCTCCAGGGTGAAGAAAGGAAAGATGACCATCCATCAAACTGTTAGTATGAGAGCCGTATCTCGGTTTTATTTATATGTGGTAGCCGCCTGAATTTGATGCCATTCGAAAATCATAAAATTTATAGGAGATTTTGGTATCATCAATTTTCCTAGTGTCGGGAATCCAGTAAAATAAATTGTTTAAAATGAAAATGTTATTGTGAAGACAAAGGTGGCCGTTATTTGCCGAATCCAAGCTAAATTAAATGGAAAGAAGATAATTTTGAAGTTATAAATTTGAGATTAAAAGGATAAGGTGAAGATAACGAGGAATTAAAAGAAGTAGTGGGAGATCTCTCTCTAACAAAGGAGTGCCTGAGGTGTCCTTGGGACTTCGGGATGAGATTTGGTAGAAAGATAGACCATAACCTACTTCTATTGCGAAATTTAAACATTTTCGCTGCGGGGCACCAGGGATGCGAATTTCGCAATAGAAGTAGGGTAATATCTATCTGTCTGCTAAATTTCATCCCGAAGTCCCACAGACACCTTTGGCACTCTCCTTTGTAAGTACGAAAAGGTACGAAATTCCACCACTAAATATTAGTACGCATGGGAAAGTTTTGGGATAACAAAAAATATCCACATTTTAACCCACAATTTTTGTTAAATTTCTCAGTAATTTGTTGAAATTAAAATGAAAATGTAAACAAAATTTTCTCAAAAATATTTTTTTGTATTTTTAAAAGTTATTTGTGTGAAAATTTTTATAAAAAAATTTTTAAATTAATTTACTTTGTTTTACAATATACTAACTTTAAAAATTATTTCAAAAATAAAAAAATGACAGCTTTAACTGATATTTTCCTTATCTGGGATTTTTGGGGGAGTTTATTACTTGGTTATCCTCTAAACATTATTCTGATTATTTTAATAATTTTTAAAACACCAAAAGAAATGGAAACACACAGCAGAATTCTGATACAAAATTGTGTTTTGGATATTTTATTATTAACACTTCAAATGTTGGCACAAGTGGTAAAACCTTTAAAGCAGAATTAAATCAGAATTCTTTTATATATAATAGAATTCCTATAATAATACTCCCGGGAGTGCTATTTTTCAACCCTCTTCCAACGGGGAGTATCATTTAAGGGGGAGACTAATTCAGAGGCTAATACTATTTCAGGAAATACGGTAATAGAATTTAACTATCATGAATGAAAATATTAATAAATCAGAATCATAGTTTCCGGAAGTATACAGTTTCAGATACAGAGTTTGGCTGTTACAGAGTTTCTGCCAATGTCTGTACCAAGGAAAAGGACCGAAAACCACCCCCTCCCCCCTTCAGATAAGTCCTGTGTTAGAATATGTACATTATCGGTAGGGTTGCCGTTTTCGGTTCAAACCGACGTTCGGTGCATTTTTCGAGCTTGGTTTTTTCGATTCGGTTCGTTTTCGTGTCTTTCGAGCTGAAAAGCCTCGGATCGCTCAATCTTTCGAGTTTCGGTTCGAGCGAGCTGGCAACCCTAATTAACGGGCTTTACCGGAATTCAAAAAAATCAAACAATTTATTTAAGTTTGGTGTAACTGACAAGGATGGACATGCAATTTCAATTATAACTGACGGGATTTTGATTTACATTATGAAAGAAAAGTTTAACCCATTATTTTTCTATTATTTGTTTGTTGCTTACCTATTTATTTACAATCTAAGTACAAACGGATTGTGTGTTCAATTTATATATAGATATTTAATTTTAAACAGGTAAAAAACCATAATAATTTAAATTAATAAGGCTGTGCAGTAGGCGGTGTGGTGTAATGACTAACACACCATTTCAGTCTACTGAAGATGCTGGTTCACTCCCAGCCGCTACTAACTAGCTAACGGAGAGAAATAGCTATAGTCCAGCTGCTTTACTATTTTGGACAAAATATTTTTGGAATATTCTTAGAAGATGCTAAATATTTTAAGTTAGGGAAATAATTTTAATTGGGCAGAGATATTTTCTACAAGAGCGCCATATCATATCCAAATCCATTTTCATTAGGAGCTAGTCGTCGTTGGGCGCGAAGATTAGTCATTTTTGACAAATATATTTAATAAAGTATAAGGGAGAAAGAAACGGTAACGCTTTGTCAGTTTTTAAAATCATGATTGAATAATCTAGCTATGGCACTAACGCTTCTATTATTAAGGGTATTTTATTTTTCATACTTAAAAATAAAAAAGTTCTGTATTTTAACATAAACATATATTTTAACAGAAACATGAAAATTGGTGTTCGTCGCTATTTATATATGTTTTCGGTTGCTTTAATAATAAATGTTATTTATGCATTGGTTACTATTTTTGTCGATATGGTATATTTTGGCGGAGGTATTAAGCTAATTGTTGATGATAATTTTAATAAAACTTTGCCATACTTTCAATGCCGAATGGATACAGTATTTTTAAAATAATTTCTTTAATAATTTTATTAAAAGATGGGTCTTTTGGCAATTCTCCCATTAAATTTTATTGATATTACTCCGTATTTTATAATAAGTTTTTGTTCAATTAAAATGGTTAAATATGTCAATTCACATGCACTTGATGAGAATTTGAAAATCTTTGTTAAACAATTAACAAAAACATTGATAATTCTGGTATGTTTTAAATTAATTCTGATATGTTTTAAATTAATTCTGATTTTGTTTTAAATTAATTCTGATATGTTTTAAATTAATTCTGATTTTGTTTTAAATTAATTCTGATTTGTTTTAAATTAATTCTGATATGTTTTAAATTAATTCTGATTTTGTTTTAAATTAATTCTGATTTGTTTTAAATTAATTCTGATATGTTTTGAATTAATTCTGATATGTTTTAAATTAATTCTGATTTTGTTTTAAATTAATTCTGATATGTTTTAAATTAATTCTGGTATGTTTTGAATTAATTCTGGTATGTTTTAAATTAATTCTGATTTTGTTTTAAATTAATTCTGATTTGTTTAAAAACATTTCTAACAATTTATAATACATATTTAGCAGGGATGGGCGAAATCAAAAAATAAAAAGCGAAATGCGAAATGCGAAACTTTTTTTAAAAAAATTAAATGCGAAATGCGGAATGCGAAACTTTTCGCGCCAAAAAATGCGAAAAATGCGAAAGATGCGAAATGCGAAAATGCGAAATTATTTAAAATTCAAAAAATTTTATTCATATTCAAAATTATAAATTACGAGATTATGATGCAAAAATAAAAGCATTTCTGCATTTTCTTGAATAAGACGTTTCCTCAGATTGTTTATTATTAATCCTGCATTACTAAACAACCTTTCTGCTTCAGCTGATGTACAAGGTGCTGATAGAAAGCGCGTTGCAATTTTGGATAAAATTGGCCATTTAACTGTATTGTCACCAGTCCAAAATCCATCTATAATTGCTTGTCTTACAGGTAGAAGATCATTCTCGTCTTCACTGAACTCCCTGTCAACCGAGATATAGGTTCCCGAATATCGAAAAACCATAGGGGGCATTGAAGGACGGGGCATTGCAGGTTCCGATTCGAGTTCGTGATCGGGGTCTTCAGATCTTAATCTTCTGACATCCCTCTTAATCTCAAATCCCTTTATTGCGCCGCAGGCGAAAATTTTTGAAAATTCATTACTAAATTAGAATTTTTAATGTTTTTCAGGTTTGACATATTAAAAAAAATAAATTTACAAATTTAAAATTAAAATCAGAGTTTAAAAATTTTTATTTTTGGAAGAAAAAATTACCTTTTCCAAACCCTGGATTCGAACCCAGCCCCAAAAAACACCACAGAAAGCAAAGTCAGTCAACTTAACCACTTCACCATCGACCAACTAAATAAATGATGGAATAATTTTTCTATATTTCTTTCCCTTTTCCTTTAAAAATTAATGTAAAAATATCTAAAAAAATATAATACTAAAGCAAAAAAGCGAAACAAATTTCGCATTTGGACCAAAAAGCGAAATGCGGAATGCGAAACTTTTCGCGCCAAAAAATGCGAAAAATGCGAAAGATGCGAAATGCGAAAATGCGAAATCGCCCATCCCTGATATTTAGGCAGTTGTTCCTTTCGTAAAACTTACATCAATTTTAATACTATCATACTGTATCTTCACAAACAATATGTCGAATATTATTCAATTAATTATTTATCATTGGTTTCATTTTACCCCTGTAATTAACCCAATTATTTGTATATTAACAAACAAACCATATCGAAACGCTGTTTTTAAAAGTATAAGAATATTTCCACAATAATTTTTAGTTTTATATTTCTAAAATGTACATATCTATTTTTAATAAAATTTTAAAATCTAAATTAAGTAATGTCAACTATGTAATTTTCAATCATGAGTTACTAAAAGGTGTCTTGCTGTTTTAATAATACAAAACAAATTTACTGAGTCAAATAGTTCTGAAAGTTGCCTAAAAAAGTAAATGTAAATGACTGGCAATCCGCAAAAAAAAGCTATAAAAATCAGAGTTTTACTCCTATTTTACCCGTGTTTTCAGGGTAACGAGCAGGGCTGCATGCTATTGAAAAAAGATTCGGCAACTCTCAATCCGCAATTCGCATTTTTTAATTAATTATAGACATGATTGGTTTGCAGCTTTTAATTTTAATAAAAAGTAAAATTTTTGATAAAAACACGGGTAATAGTTCGGATGAGACCCCCCCCCCTTTTTCCTTTCTAAAAGTATTAAAAAATGGTCAGTCAGACTTAAGTTATAGAACTCGTCGAGCTGTGTCGAATGACCCAAATTCAACCCCTGGTCTTAACTTTGGGCCGAGATACAGACAAAAAACCTCCGCAAAGAAAGGTTTTGCAAAAGCGTCTCACGACTACAATAGGATTACTTTATGTCATAACTTTGTCAAATCTTGTTCAATTATGTTGATTTTGATGTCATTCGAATCAGCTCGACAAGCTCTTTCGAATGAGCTATTATTTGATTAATCAAATTTTTATCCCAAAAAATAAGCTTGGTCTACCGTTATTTTTCAATTTTCGGGTGTCTGTATCTCGGCCCAAAGTTAAGACCGGGGGTTGTTTTTGGTGTCATTCGACACAGCTCGACGGGTTCTATAATCTGATAACAGACTGACCATTTTTTAATATTTTAAGGATGGAAAAAGGGGGGGGGGTCTCATCCGAACTATTACCAAAACACGAAATGTTGGATATAAAATGAATATATACATGATTACTTAAAATAAATATAAAAAATTTCGATGAATTAAAACTGGTTGTGATAATTTCTTCATCTCACGGATTGTATAAAACCGTTGCTCGACAAGTTGGGCACCCTCCTTCTACCTGCGCAAAAATATACATAGAATTTATTATTTTAGCATTTATAATGTTTCTTAATTTATTAATTTCAATAAAAATTTAATTCCCACCAAACAAGTTCCACCAAAGAATCCCCACCAACCTTTACCAGACTTCTTTTTCAACCTGCAATTTATTTTATAATGTAAAATTCTATCTAGTGTAAGGCCAGGATCATCCTAAAAATACGTGAAGAGCAATCGTCGCTCTAAGTAGTGGAGGTTCCCAGAGAAACTTATCCTTGAGAAGGCATTAAGGAAGTAAGCTGGTGCTTATAAGCTTTAATGGAATAGGCAAAGGCAGAATACTTCATTCATTCAAGAGAGTTGGCCAGTCCATCGAGTCTCATAGGGAAGAGCTCTCCCTCTGTTCCCCCTCTACGAGCGATTCACCTATTTTCTATACTCTGCGGAATTCACACATGATTGCAAGCATGCGCAACTTAGCTAATAACATCAACTGAACAACAAGGCACTGAGTAACGGGACCAACCGCTTTACTCTAGTAAGTTATTACTAGAGTCAGCTAAGACATTAAAAATTTTATAAGAGAAATAATTAATTACCATTTTTGAAGGCATTCTTTATGAAAAATATGCTAAAATATATTTAAAATTCTAAATGATTATTAATTTTGACAAACATTGCAATCTGTTTTTTGTAAAATTTTTTGATCTTCTTCAATCAAATTGACATGAC